CAACTATTCGGATATTTATTAATCCGCTCTCAAATGATAGGAATAAATTTCCACGACATTTTTTTTATGGAGATCTTCGCCAGTAACCTTACTGTAATTGTAAATTAGAAAATTATATTATTAATAATAATATCAGAACTTTAAAAATTGCATTTACAATAAAATTAGGTGACAGAAAAAAACTAAGTGATATAACGAGCGTTCAAATAAAAACGTGGTCAAGTTGGTTCTGAAAATTTGGACGTAGGGCGTAGCGTATAGCAAATGAACTTAAACGTCATCTGTCAAAGCGCTATATCGCCGCTATCAATTTGAATATTTTCGTTTCAAAAAGCGTTTAAAATGGTGTTTTCTCAAGAACAAAAAGTGTTTATCATAGAGTCCTACTTTAGAAATGGACGCAAGATTGATGGAATATGGAAGTATTCTATTGAGGAATGTTTCATAGAATTTCAAAATCAATTTCCCGGCGTTGTTGAGTACAAAATTTTTCAAAGTGCAGTTCAGCGTTGTGTTAATGTTTTTCGTGAAACGGGCAGTGTAACAAGAAAAGAAGGAAGCGGCCGACCTAAAAAGCGGACTGAAGAATTAAAAGAAAATGTCCAACAAATAATGGAAAATGCGCCAAGAACTTCTGTACGTGTTTTATCACAAATGGTGGGAGTATCAGTCGGTACCTGCCACACAGTGTTAAAAAAAGATTTGCGTTTGTTCTCCTATCGTTTAACTTGTCAGCAAGAACTTCATGAAGTTGATTTTCCGCGACGGGCTGTATTTTGTGAATGGTTTTTAAACAACTACGGTGAACTTCATAATATCACCTTTTTTTCTGATGAAGCCTGGTTTCATTTAAGTGGTTACGTAAACTCACAGAATATGAGAATGTGGTCTTCTGAAAAACCAGATAACTTTTTTGTCGAGGGCCCTCTACACGCTCAAAAAATTGGAGTTTGGTGTGCTCTCAATCGAAGGAGGATTTATGGACCTATTTTTTTTAATGGTACTCTTACTGCGCAAAGGTATAGAGAAGAAATTATCGCTCCTTTTGTTAACCAGCTGGAAGAAAACGAAATTACAAACTTTTACTTTCAACAAGATGGCGCAAGGGCACATACGGCAGGCGAGACGATGAATATGTTGAGGGAAGTTTTCCAAAATCGACTAATAAGTCTCAATGCTGAACATGAATTTCCACCGAGGTCATGTGATATTACGCCGTGTGATTTCTTTTTGTGGCCTTACCTTAAAAACACTATTTTTGAACTGCCTATTCCTGATTTAAACCATCTGCAGGCTCGACTTATAGACAAGATTCGTGAAATTAACAATACCCCGAGCATCTTAGAAAATGTCTTTAATTCTTTGAGGAACAGGTGTGAAAAGTGCTTGGAACAAGGAGGGGGACACTTTCAGCAGCTGCTTTAATTTATTGTTATAACAAGGAGGGGGACACTTTCCGCAGCTCCTTTAATTGTTTGTTATTGTTATCACGATTATTCTTTAAAATAAAGTTATATAGTCATTAACGTTATTGAAACTGACAGCTGCTATACAGCTCGTTGAGAAATGAGGTTAAGTTGGTCGCTATAAGCTACTCCCTACGTCCAATGTGTCAGAGCCAACTTCGACCACGTTTTTATTTGAACGCTCGTTATTTACCTAATAATTAACAAAATTATTCTTACTTGGTTTATAAATATTAAAAAAATAAAAACAATTTTCATATAAGGTGGCCAGCCAACTTATATATTCACATATAAAACAACGCCGCCAGGTTTTCGTTTGCCTCCAATTTAACAAAATATTTTAAAAACATGTTTTTATAAAACAAGTTTATTCATCTGTCTTTTAAATTTGCAAAACTTGTAATGTCTTCATAAAATTGAGGATCGCATTAAGACTTTGTAGTACTTTTTCTATCGTCATCACTGATAAGTTGTTTAAGCGCTCAAGTTTATTTCTAGCGAGACACTTGTTGCAGGAATTGTTAAAATAGAGCAAAATAATTTGTACGTTTCAGAAAATGCCATTTTAAATTCCTTGTATATTTTCTATCGTTTTTTTGAACTTTTAAATTAGGAAATTGTTCGTCTCTGTACAAAATATTAAGTTCGTTTTTCAATCTATCTATTTCAAAAACGTTTGGATACATTTGTAATAAACATTCAAACGATTTTTCGGAAATTTTTTTTGCGTATTCGGGAAATTTTGAGGAATCTATTAAAGCAAAAAATGTCAATCATGTAAATTCCCAACACGAGTAGGTTAAGAGGAAAATATTCGAAAATATTTCTAATTTGTCGCAACTTTTGCCCCGTTTACTTTTCTAATATTTTAAAATTTTTCTTCGTTTCTCAAGTTTACGTCATTACTTTTTAAAAGAGATGTTTCAAGAAATAAAACAATATTGTGATATAGTTTCATTATTAGCTACCTATACAGGTATTTGATAATATAATAAGTATCTATTAAATTACGTTAAATTTATTCTTACTCTGTTTTGTTGTAAGGAAGTTGTTTTTTATTTACTTTAATTTAATACCTGCCTTGTCCTTATCCTTAAAGCCTTTGTACTATCCCTCACACTGACATCAAACACTACCCGCGTACTATGCGACGCGTACATTAACCGCGAACTGAAGCTACAAGACAAATACAAGCAGCTTTGAGCCGGCCTCAGTTTCTTCTTAAATTACGTTATTTTAACCGCCTCTCGTGGAGGGGGAGTTCTGGAGTTCAGGTATCTAACTGTTTATTTAGGTTAATAGTAAAATAGGTATTAAAATATACGGTGTGAAAGCCAAATTTACAGTGAGGCCCAGTCTCAGTTGCTTCATACGACGAACCGCCACTCATGGAGCAGGTATTAACCACATTTATCTAAATATTTCGATTTCTTCTAACTAGATCCTTACACTCCTAACTTTTGCAATATTGTTTGCGAAGTTACCAACGTTTCGCTTTAGTTTTAACCAAATTCAAAGATATGATCCAAGATAAAACCTATTTTTTTCTTTCAGTATGTTATACCAAAGTGACACGTATTATGTAACTCATATTTTTTCTTCACCTTCAACTTCTCCCAATCCGTGTCGAAGCCATGACCGATACAAAGCACGCCTCCACCACCTGGTAGACCGCTAATGCAGCTTCTTTACACCTCTTAGACGATACCTCCCGCGATAAGGTAAATTGTAGAACACGTAGGCGATAAATAACCGGCAATAAACAATAACGGACAATTTGCGTAACCGCTTAGATAAGAACCTCCGATTAATCCTATCGGACGTATCCCCTGGTAGGCTGCACGGGTGCTACCGATACAAAAATGCGCCATCGCAGTTGCAATTATAAATTAGCCAAGTCACCCGACTTGAAATTGGCCAATTTGCTCTAACATGAAACAATTTGCATATCATTTGGGGCCGCATTAGAGCATGCCTACGGTAATCGACGGGTACCTACTCGAAAAATGAAATGAAGACGTAAATACGCCTTGAAATATGGTTTAATTAACATTTATATTGAAATCGGTTGCATGGATGTATATTTAAATGCCCCGTGTTCGTGTTCCTTATAGAAGTACATATAGGGACAAGTTACAAGTATGACAGTATAATATTCAACAACACTGAATTGTGCAGACTGAACAAAGCATCTACCAAGACAGGAGGAAGTCATTGTCATTAAATGACAGGAATTGTATGTTGTAAAAACGTTTACAAAAACTGTTGTGTCATATTTTTACTCTCTCTGCTTTGTAATACACTTCATCCACCAGTTCACAAACTTGCGGATTTCTTTTACAAAAAGTTTTTTTGGTGCGGATTTTGACCAACATAACACCAAAATGAACAAAAGTTCTGTACAAAAAAACAACTCTAAATGATCCACAAAATCCCCAAATGCTTCGGGAGTTCTTCAAGGTAGTGTACTAAGTCCACTATCGTGTGTCTTTTATATCTCAAACTTACCAACAACACGTAACTCATCAATAGTTGATTTTTATGATATGACTATCATGTCAAGTCCTCAGATATCTGTAGTAGTTAGTATCTACTCTATACAACAACATCTTGGCTAATTTTCACCTTTCGACAATAACAACAAATCCAGTCCACAACAGTAAGCAAATTCTTCAAACCAGTGACACCAAATGTCTAAGACTACACTTGGTGACAAATTGAACTGGATAAGTAGGAAGAAAATTAATAAACTACTAAATTACTGTCTATCAGTAAACAACAAAATTCTTATGACTTATACCTTCATCAAGTCTATTTAAATCTATGGTGTATAGTTATGGGGATGTGGTAATAAGTCTGACATGCTATTATACAGAGATGGAAGTCAAAAGTATTAACAAAGGGTATGCTTTCTTTCAATGATGTCCGAACTGTACAAGAAGTAGTAGGTAATTATCACCTAATCTTTGAAGAACACCCCAATCCGCTATTGGAACAATTGATTTTGAACAACAGAAGACATAAGAGATGAATGTCAATAAACGTGAAAAGAAGTGATGTTAGTATGTCTGGCATTAGTGAACACTTTATTCATTCTATTCTTCAGAAATGTGTAAAAATTTACTTGAAAAGCGTGGAAAGGAAGGCAACAAAGTTAGTTCCAAAAAAATCACAGCTACATACACGTATTAGAAAATCGATGAATTTGATTGCGAATAAGCGTCTAACTGATTTGAGGTGAAAACTCCGTTAAATTTATTAATTTATGCCCCAGTTCCTTTAGTTACAGCACAGCTCAGCATTATGTTAAATTAATTACTTAACAAAATTAGCATTTCATCAATGTTGATTGATGCTAGCGAACCTGCTAAAGTCTCGTTTTAACGATCCATTCTAAGCGGCTCGAGCCTTTGTTAATTCATAAATATTCAATACACTTTAATTTAAAATAACTGCCGAGGTTTTTTTTGTTTGATATACTTTAGCAAGAATCTTTTCTCACGAATGACATTAATTTTTAATTTTCCGTTCCAGGGTATCGTTTGGTAGTTCAAAAGGATCAATGGTAGAAACCCTCATTTTCGAGAGTCCGGTACAGGAGGAACCCGAATCCAGTCCTATCCTAGAAAATGTAGTCCTCTTTCCAGCTGACCAGGATCAAGCCGAGTAAGTATTTAGAATTTTTTTACTCGTACTTTAACTTTAATCTTTCACTTGTCAAATTTCTTTGTACTGATGTATAAAAACAATGTTATGGATAACTTGCGGTGCATTTTAAATCGTGACAGAAATAACAGAGGCGGGCTCAGTGTTAGGTATACCGTTTATGATCAAAATTGTATAACTACGATGACGCATTTTTTGGCTAATTAATTACCTTTAACTTTATAGCGAGAAATATATATTTTTTAGGTATAGTATTTAAATCGACGGTCTTCATTTGACGTCATTTTCAGTTCTTATTCTATTTTAGAAGCGCTTTATTGATACTAGAACTTATTTTAATCGACCCACATAGTCTGTAGTTCCATTTTGATAACGAATATTGAGAAACTGACTTATGAATGAAGGAGGATAATAACAATATAGTACTATTGTGTCGTACCCTTAGTATAATGCTATTATGCACTATTAAGCCGCTTATCATTAATGATTCTGGGTAAATTGACATTCATAGTAGTAGAGGTCAAAGTCAATAAATAATACACTTAACAGTTCTCATTATAATGCATATTGGCAGTTGATCCGGAATATACTAGTCGAAATAATCTATGAAACGGTGAAATTAACTGTATGAGCAATATGAAGGGACGTAAAGTAATATAATTGAAACCATTACATAAACATTAGAGCATATATTACAAAAATGACTCATATTGGTCATGCTGTGGAAGGCCAGTTGTGGTAATTTAAGTTTATTATGAATGTCTTCAGTTCTGAGTCTGTTTTGCTTGTTCTTTTTATTAAGGAATAAACAGTACTTTCTTAGTAACACAATAAACTATATTCTTTTGCTCAAGGACGATTGAATACAAACAAATCGTAAACATTGGAAAATTAATGCCATTTTTAAATAATGATTTTGTTTGAATTAATTATCTTGTACAAGAGAAAACGACAATATTTATTTTTCTGAAGTAAGTAAACATGTTTGTTTTTAGTTTTACAGTATTTCAATAACAATAAATTATGCGCCTTTCTTTTTGGATTTTTAAGGAAATAAATAAATTAAGGCAATAAGAATGCCAGTAAACCAAATTTTATTAATTGTGCTCGTATAGGTCTGTATAACAAAAGTAGTAAATCAAATTGTTCAAATTTTCGCATATTTTATTGTTACTTTCTCTTGTTTATTATTAAAATGGTTCAAATAGGCAAAGTAAAGATTAAATACATGTTCTTTCTCTCTTTGACGCAAAGAGATTTTACAAGAAATTGTGAATTTTTAATGTTTCAGTTAAAGCAATAGAAAAAAATCAGTCTCCTGCGATTTTTAAATGAAAATTTGCGTCCCGATATATTTTTCTCTTCCAAGTGACCACTCGCTTGAATCACGTCTATTCTCAGATCTCTCAGAACTGGTAAGTGATTGCCAAGTTCATTGTCACTGACCCGATTTGTTTTTCTTCGACGATCAGGGTCTGTCTCCATCCTTAAAATAAGTTCCGCTGACGACATCTGCCTTACGTTTCTGTCCAAGCAACTCAAACTTATAATTGAATCGGTAGTGAATTTTCTGCCACCGTTTTCCCTAATGTAAAAGATTTTATAAATAAGGCGGTCGCTGTAGAAATCCGCCACCTGTATTTAAAAAGGTATTTCGTGAGAAGGTAACCATTTGTCGGTATCCGCAAATATTTAAAAGTCCTATGTACCATACTACTCTTTGAAAAGCAATAAGTCACTAGGTATAAGTACTGACAAACTGAATAATTAATACTAAAAACTCATATTCAATTATAAAATATAGTGAAAATTTAACAATATATTCTACTCATTTTTCCTTCTTTTCCGGTAAAATAACTGACATTATGACTGAATCGCCATGTATATTTTATAACTTATTAAAAATTAATAAAATTAAGGAAGTTCTGTACGAAGACGACGTGGCACTTAACTTTTATTAAAGTTTTATTTGTTCTATTAAGAGCGAATAGTCCCATAAAGATTACGTATCGCTTCCAACTTCAATTAGGTCGTGCTAATAAGTGATTAAAAAAATAAAGCAGTTTTAATCCTGCCATTCTACCAACACCATTCACAAATTACCAGTTAATTTTTATTGCTTTTTATCTCTAGCGGAAAGCGGTTGATATATCGTTATAAATGGGAATGAATCATTGTTTTTTCCTTAGATCGTATGATATAACATCAAAATGTTAATATAATCAGCTTGATTGCTTGTAAACATACAAGGCGTTGTGTAGTCAAACATTGTCTTAGTTTTTTAGATACGATCTGTTTTACATAGTCTTTAAATGTCGGTGTACAATTCGGTTGATCATGTTAATTCTGCTTGGGTAACTGTTGAATTCTTTATAAATTATAACACACCAGCCATAGACAATACGAATTCCTTGCCACAAAGAGTTACTATTACGTGAATTTTTTACCCAAAATTTAATTCGAAATAATACATTATTAGCAAATGTTTTTAGTTGCTACTGGAAAGATTGGTTTTTTCATTTGTTGAGTTGTTAACCTTAAAAGCAATGTTGTGTATGATGTATGAGGCAAGTGTTAAGAGGGTAATTTTTTGTAAATGGCGAAGGCGAAATGTTTCTCTAAAATTTCCGGTTTCACGGGAATAACTTTATATGAACATACAAAATAAATATTTTTTTATTATTCTTTATACATGCCAAAGAGAATGCTGTTAAAAGCATTCCAGCTAGTAAAAATACGGAAAATGAATTTATATAACATTTTTTTGATGTGCAGTTTTTTATTCTAGTAAATTATTTTTATTATTAACTTTTTTCTCCAGTACCAAACAAATGGTTTCAATAATATCAACCCTAAGCAGGTGTGGTAAGGTTTGTAATAAGTTTTATTCACCTTCATCATTTAATTTACTTTATTATTTCAGTCACGTTACATTTTCTATTTTTAGCTCCTGTTTCCTAATAAGATAAATTTTATAGAATCATCCCACACCCCTGTAATCCCCTGAAAGTTTCACAACAACTGTTGGGTTAGATAATCTTTAGAAGCGTTTATATTTTTGAGAATTTTTGACACGTAACGAATAAAGCATTTCATTTTTATAGACTTATTGTTAAAAGCTTTGTCCCTGGGATACAATTTTGTAGTAGGTTTGTTCCGGTTTGAGTTTTTTTTTAGATATTGACACATTTTAAAAAACTGGTCCCCACACACATTTTTGATGATGATTTTTTTTTCTTCTATTAGGGATATAAATCAATACATATCTACTAAATCTTCGAAAAACATTTTTTCCTTTCTTGAAGGCATATTTTTGTTTATTGTTCACTGCACAGGGTGTTTTTTCTAAGTAATAATAAAATCTGAGACGTCTTCTCAAGCGATTTCATGAAGATAAGACTGAAATGTTTTATTTTTTGAAGATTTAATACCGTAATTATATTTATAATCATATTTATATAAAAAAAAATTCTATGAGCTTCTCTCTCTCTCTCTCCCCCCTTTCTCCTTCTTAGGGGCAGATTTCAGGGGGCTGTAATTCCGAAAGAGGGGGCCAGTTGGCAAAAAGAAAAAATACGGGTCTCCTAAATTTGTCTTAAGAATCTATGACCAAATTTTGTTGCATGAATTTCGGGACACCCTGTATATGACATATTAAAAATCTGATTTTTTTTAAAATTTATTATACATATTTTATATAAACACGAAAATCATTTTATGATCGTTGTAGGATCCTGAAGACGTAATGAAAGCGACGAAACATCAGAAAAATGTGATAATGTTTTTTGTACTTTCTGGCGACATTCAGTTTATCACTTTTAATATTCTCTACGAATTTTAAGGGTGCTCTAGCGTCATCTAACATTCACCCGATTTCCTTCCGCAGCTGACACACATCACTGGCCTGCTCTATCGACTCCTTTCCGAACTACGTACACCGGCTTTTTAGGTTTCTACATCCGCAATTTAACCATAGCGCGCGAAGCGCCCAACGGTGGGATTGTCAACTAAACTGTATCCACTCGAGGTGTGGCGAACAATATTACAGCGTTGCCAGGCGACACATTCTTGAGTCATCCTGGGGAAATTCAGTTTCGCTTCTGTTTTGATAGACGGCTTCTGTTGGGGTGAATTTAGGGCTAAAGACAGGACATTAAAACTGTAAAAATCGTACTTGCAATTTTAAAAAATAAATTTTGTAAGGAACAGTCTGTCAAAAACAGGTAATGTAATAAACTTCAAAAAACTACTAAAATAAGGAAACTGGAAAAATAGAGTTGTTGTTGCATATTTTTTAGTTATTCCTTTATTTGGGTATTTCATACGACCTATAAAGAGATATAGAAAAATAAATAAATTTTTGCTCTTAAAATGGTCGTTCAATGGTTATTTTTATGAAAGTAGGTAACAAAAAAATTTTACTGGAAAAATAAAAATGCTTTGAAAATCAATTCGATTTTAATTTCAAAACTACGACTAATTTTCGTCTAATCTGTTCACAAAATTTTATTTTGATCAAATTTTACCACATTGTGTGAAAATATTGTCATCAAAATCCACACCATTCATAGTCGTAGCACAAGCACAAACTTTCTACAATATTAAGACTATATTACAGGAAACTGCTCTGTGGGTTACCTGTTCCTACAAGCATTGAATTATACCAGCAATTCCTAGTAAATATCTGGGATCACTCGTCGGTCAAGCCCACTAGACATTGACCACATTATTTGAAACAAAAATTACAGATTGCTGGTATATGATACTTACAGAATTGTAAAAATATTTCAGAATAAATTTACATATTTTACGAAATTTTGAACCACTTGTAACTGGACCTATCTGTGTCAAATTATGTGGATATTCCTGACAGTTTATTTTCCGTTTAGCGGAAGAAGTTCGAAAGCTTTCTATAGAAAAAACATATCTTACTCAAGAGTTCCTAATATTTACGAAATATTGCGAATACTATTTATTCACTTGAGATTTTTAATCATTTT